CCAAGTACATCTTGTACCCATTAAAAAAATTAAAAGAGGAGAACATGTGAGTATATTGACTGCTCTGTGGATTTGATGGGTGGTTATATTGCTTTTAGATGCACAGTGAGCTGTGGTATAGATCTGTGCTTCCGTAGCTACACTAGTTCCCTTTTCACACTCCCAAAAGTCACACTACATCAGAACAGTATTCTCCACTTTCAGTGCCTTTCATGTGTAGGTTTTATGTATAGTTTCAGGTTTGTATAGGTTTATGTATAGTTGTCCCTGCCCCACACACTTCCATGGGTTTTGGGCAGTGTTGAACAGCTGGGTTGCAGCACATGGGCACCCCCTGAGATGATCACACAGCTTCTCTCTGTGAATATGAGTATTTTGAGGATCAGCAGTACCTAACCAGGCTGGAGCATCAGTCTTTTCCCACTTCTCTATATATCCTTGGTTGAAGTGGCCTGATCCGTGTTAGCATGTGAAATAACTACATGGCTGGAATAAAACAGTAATGGTGCAGGCAGAAATAAAACTAATAAATGTATTCAGTATGGCATTTTCTGTTTCTGGGTAGGGTTTGTGCAGGACTGCTATGACATAGGTATAATTTACCATACCTAAAAGAACATTTCTCCAGTTACCAGTGTGCACCTGTGAGGCATCTATGCAGATCCATCACCTTACAGCAGGTCCATGTATACAAAATATCAGATTTTATTTTATTTTATTTTATTTTATTTTATTTTATTTTATTTTATTTTATTTTATTTTATTTTATTTTATTTTATTTTATTTTATTTTATTTTCCTTTTGTGGGTTCTGGTAAATTTTGTCACTGTCAGTTAGTATGAACCTACATACCCATTTCTGGGTTCTGCATAACCAGAGAAGGCAAATTCAGCAGGCCACCACTCCCCAGACCTGATGCATAGTGCTCTGACAACCTGTTTTCTTTGAGATTTCAAGCATTCCAATATTGTGGAATTAATTGTAGAAATCTCCTGGCTTCTGTTTGAGGAATCAAAACAATTTACTTCAACAGGAGGTAGTCCCTTATGAGATACATCCAGCTGGCCACCGCAGGGATCAGCCTCATCGTCTTTACAAGCAGGATATGTTCACATGCCAAAGTCAGCAGAAACAAAATAGATGACACATCCACACTCCAAAGGTTTGTGTTCCCAATAAACCCAAGCAGAAATAAGACAGGATGAAGAGCCAGGTCCAAATCAAGCATTTAATTCAAACATTTACATGCCTGGGATCAAACTCTTGGATTACGGATTAAATCCCTAAAATGTTTAGGGAGGCAGGAGCTGCCTGTGAATTGTCTCTTAGATATGTCTGGGGACACTGTGTGACATCTGTTGTACAAGCTTGGGTTTGTAAAACCCACATGCAAAACAGTGGGTTTAGACCAAACTGCTGATGTCTGAAATTTTCACTCTGCTTGATACGAGACATTGCCAAATCTCCAGCAGTATCTGTGTCTGAGACTCTTTTACCTCTCATCCCACACACCTTGAGCTGATTTTTACTTCGACAGCTTCTTGCTCTTTATACCTTGGGAGCCATATATCAAGGAGAAATCTGATCAGGAGGAGAGGACAGGGATTCTGTCTGTTCTCTGATCCTTAATGCAGTTTTCATCTTGAGGTGATTTAAGTCTTTCTTTCAAAAAATCTGACATCAGTCATGCACTCTGAGCCAAGTGAGGTTACTCAGGATTTATAGCATTCTGTTGTGTGACCACTGAATTTGGAGTACTTTTGTGAGGATATTTGATGTTGTGATTTGGGGACACTTCTGTCTCACCCTTTTTCTGCGAGTTTTGAGCATCTCTATATCCCTGCACAGAAAGGAATAGAGCAAAGAAGCTCAGAATCACTTTTCGCTGCTTGTGAAACTGCCACAGGGTCCCAAGCCACCTTCTCTATATTATCTTGGATATTTTTGGGCAGTAATGTGCTCCTCACAGATAATTTGAGAATTTCTACTGGAGTTTCTTGTAGCCTTGCAGAATGAAACCTGAAGTCCTGACCAAAGAAAGCCCCATAAGGCTCATGCCTACTTGTGTATCTGAGAGTTGGGCACGTCCAAACCTTTACTCTGGCCCCACACAGCTCTAGAGTGACAGCTCTGAGGGCACTGCATAGTGCTGGGAGAGACAGATCCTTTCAGTGGCACCTGGAGGATCCAAAAGTGACTCCAGATCACTGCTAGGGGCACTTTCTCCTGTTTTGAACTAACTGGAATGGGCTGCCTCTCTTGCCACACTGGTGTGTTTGAGGAGAAGTCAGTGTCAGCAGCTGTCCACTGCTGAGAGACAGAAACAGCCACAGCAGGCCCTAAAATGGACTTCTGCAGATCTGGCATTTCAGCTCTCAATTCAGTGGGGAACAATTGAGAGCTTATGCATGCTCCATGGATACAGCATGAGAGAAGGTGTCCTAGCGCAGGGAACTTTGTGCATTCATATAATTTCCAAACTGGCTAAAAGGGGTTGATATCTTTCACAGCAGTTATCCACCTTTGGGAAATCTTGTGTGATATAAAATTCCAGAGGGAAGAAGATATTACACTGCTATTGTTGGGTAAGGCTGTTTGTGCCAGTCATTGGAGATACATCCATGCTGTGCTGCTACAGACGGCTCCCTTGCCACACAAAATCTCTGAAAACAAGGGGATTTGAGGCTAGGAGTGGGGACTTCCACAAAAACCAGTTTTGTTGCTTGAAAATAAGGACTGAGGACTAAATGGACTATTTAGTATGTTTGTCATGGGTTGAGTGCCTCTCTTTTCTGTGCTTACTATTTTTCAGCCTTCCCTGCTCACAGCATCCCAAGTATATGTTAACACTCTTTCCTTTGGATGAGCTAACAAAACATCTTCTCTGAATTCCCCTCAATCTGTGTAGCCACATTCCTCCATGACTTGGTAAAGCTCCAAGACACCATTCCACAGATAACTTGTCATGCAAACTGTGGCTGTGTGTAAATAAATGTGTATATATAGTGTATGTGGTGTCCTCTATAAAGGCAGAACTGTACATATTAGAGCTGTTTAGAATCAACAAGGACTGAGTAAATAGATGGGTTTTGCACTTAATTTTCTTTCTCCTCCCTATATCAGAAAGAGACCAAGTAGAAATTGCTCATTTAAGCAAGGTTCATCCCTGTTGGATCAATTCTTTGCTCTGGGGGTTCTGCCTGAACTGCAACAGAAAGCTCAGAGCTGAGGTTGCTACATTTGTGGAAATTAGGCAACCATGCAGGAGTGGAGTCTGCCAACACCCAGCAATGGGGGGAGGAGGGGGCAGTGCCTGCCTGTGGGCATGAGAGCAGGCAGAATTCTCCCCCAGGCAGGATGAGGCTGGCTGGTGCCACAGGGAAGTACAACTCTGCAATACCTTCCCAGTTCCTTGCAATTTAGAAGCACTGACAGATCTTTTCCTTGCACTTGGAAAAACTCAGTCAGTAGTGAAGAGTGAATTCTAAATGGGCCCATTCCACATTAACTGTTTTTCAAAGGACTTTAACTATTTTTTTGAAGCTTGTTATTGCTTTCTGTCACCAACCTTCCCCTTTCCCAATCCTTTGAAAGTTTCTCTGTCTTCACAGCAGATCAAACCAGCCAGTTCCAGTGTCTGCTCCGTGGTCACCCAGAGGTGTGCAGGGCCAGGGCTGAGCTCAGAGCTCCATCTCAGCCGAGCTGCACAGAGCTGGCTCAGCTGGCTCAGGCCCAGGATGCAGCTTATCTGCCAACAGAGAAGCCACCCATGGATAATGGAAAGTGACTGCAGCAATGGAACGTGTTACAAAACTCCTACTGACTTCAAGGGAGCTGACTGGCAGAAATCACTATGTACTTATACTAGGGAAGTAATGTGGGACAGTAAATTAATCTCAGCAGTCCTAGCTTCAGGGGTTCTTGAAGCTATTTTGTGCAGTTTTCCTTAGCGTGGATTTTTTTGCTATTGAAGTTGTAAGAACGAAGCCAAACTTCTCTCAAACTGCTAGCTGTGCTTTGTTTTGGGATTTCCAGAAAAATAGATGAAGCCAGATTTTAGTCTGACTCCCACCTGTAAGCAGAGAGCAGTCCATGTCTGCTGAAAGCCTTGTGACTCTCTGCAAATTTGAATCCAACTTGGCCTCTGATCTATATCTGTGTCCACCTGGCTTCAAGTCTCATTACAGAAGATCCACCCAGCTGTAGTTCAAGGACAAAACAAGTCAAGCTTTGTGTATGAACTGGACCACACATAATATCAGTTGAGTCAAAATGGAAATATAATAGCCATAATCACAGCAAACAGTGGAACTTCTGGTTTCCTCTTTAATCAGAGACATGTGAAATTCAGGGAGGAAAGAGTAGCATGTCTACAGGAGGCAGGGAGTGTGTGTTTAGTAATTTTACTTTTTGCAGTTTAAAATGAGCCCAGCCCAAGCATTTCCAGGGAAGATCAGATTTATTTCCAGACTCATACTGGTATTCCATTTTTGAGTGCCAGTGGTACAGAAAACAACACTTGTCTTTTAAAGTTGAAATTCCAGCTGTGGTGCTGTGATGACCAGCTCTGTGATGAGCCAGAGCAGAGAGAAGAAACTTTTTGAATTTCTGTGGATTATCATGCAGCACCATGTGGAAGTGAGGGAATGCTCTCTTTATAAAGGTGCTTGGGCATGGGGTCAGTGGCTTTCCCTCCATGGCTGCAAGGGCTGTCTTGGCTGCAGCAGGAGCTGGGTTGCTCCTTGAGAGCTGCCCCTCACCTCTTTCCTCCCTCCCACAGAGACCTATTTTGGGGTGACCTTTACCCTGGCAGGAAAAATGGACTGGAGAGAAGATGCTGCTTTCCCTCTTCCCTGCCTGTTTGGACCAGCACAACCGCTCGCAGTGCAGTGGCTGTTAGGAAATGCAGGTGGCACAGGAGAGGAGCACAGCCACAGCAGGGACACCATCACCAGGTGGGTCACTGGCAGGACAGCCTCAAGTCACCTGGGACACCTTCCTCCTCTGCCCCAACTCCACCCTCTGCACTTCCAGCTTGGAGACTGCCTGGCTCCCTCAGGGCTGCTGAAAGCTCTCTGGCTTTCAGGAACACAGCTGTTAGTGACCTGACAAAGGAACAACAGATTTGTTATGCCTATTTGATATTTTTATTGGCACTAGAACTTCTGTGACAGGAGAAAGGGAAAGCTGTACTTCCTAAGAGACTGAGAGCGAATTACACACTTGTGCATTGTCGCTGGTAGGGGTGGGAAATGGCCACAAGGAGGTCCTCACTTGCTGCATAGAGGCCTTGTAACTTGTAGTGGAAGCAAAACATACTCTGCTGGAAACTTCTGCTTGCTCTCACCCTAGAACTAGTAGCAAGGCAAAGATCACATTCTGCCAGGTCTGGTTTTGCCTCAGCACTGGTAAAAAGCTTTATTGTTTGTAGAATTAAGCTTGTAGAATTGCTTGTAGAATTAAGGTTTCCGATTGTTTTTCTTAAAGCAGTCTTTTCTTCTCATGCTTCCTTGGCTGCTCTTAGAATGATGCTGGTGGTCGGATGCACACATTGCAACAAGCATGAAGATTTGTAACCTTCTGTCAGCAGAGACACTTTCTTTTCCCTTCAAAAGTTCACACAGATGATGCTCTGGCTTCCCCTCTTGTATTCCTGCATCAGTGAGTCATCTCCCTGTCTACCTTCTGCCTACGCACATTCCAGGTGCTGATGCCTCTCTGGGATGTTGAGCATGAAACAGAAGTGATTTGCAGAATCAAGACTACATTAAAGTACTTCCTTTGTGTTGACTTCTTCAAAGATTTCCCATGTCTTTTTGTTTTTTTCACCCATGTGTCTCCTATTGTAATGCTTCATCCTATCTACAAATTAGCTTGATTTGTGACTAAGTTAATTTTCTGTTGACAGCCAGGCCTGGGAGGTGCTTTCAAATATTTCAAATATTCAAATTTTTCCACTCTCTGGAGTGGGAAAGAGTAATGTCAGCTGGTGACAAAAGAAAGAAGTTTTACATGTGTTAACTTCTTCAGGGAAGGCCAGGAAGGGGTTCATTTGAACAGGGCTGCAAAGAGTTTGTCAGAAGACGAGATTTGGGAGCACACTGCTCTGAAGTCTGTGTATTTAAGTGGAGGATCTGAAGGAACCATGACAGTAAGAGCCAAACCTGAGCACTGGTGCATCTACACCAGCGACTTAGTTCAGGCCAGGAGCCAGCTTCTAAAGCCAGTCTCCCAAATGTCCCTGCTTCCTGTGCTTTCTTTTCATTTGTGGAGTGGATCTGGAAGAGATGATCCCAATGTCTTTCAGGTGAAACACACACTCAAAAACATGCTCTGGAAGCCCACTGTGGACAAACCCATGCTCAGCCTGTGCCATGCTCCAGGTAGCACACTGTTCCCATGGTGTGGCTGCTGAAGGGCCTGAAATTTAGGCTAAAAATAATATAAAATCAAACATTCAACATGGACAAAGGAACAGTGGCCAGTGCTCCACTGTGCATCATACAGAGAAATGTAATGATATTTGGAAATAAGACCATCTGCACTCAAAAGAGAGTGTTTAAAAAAGCTTGTGAAGTGACATATCACTCATGAGAGAGTTGCCAGTACAAACAGAGCTGTTGAAATGATGCTACATATATTGCATATGAAGTCTTTGTTCACGTTAGAACCTTTTTAGTCTCCCTAAGCAAAAAACCAAAAACCTATGCAATATACAGATCACAAGTATTTATATATATTTTATATCCACATAAAACCATCTCCCTGTGTATACTGAGATTTTGAACACAGTGGATCTGTTATTCACCCATGCTGATATCTGTAAGTGAACACATAGATTCTGTCATATCATCCAGTCTTTGCTTTGTATACAGAAACTACTGATGTATAACCTGAAAGCAAGTAAATCTTAGTATCTAAAACATAAATTTTGGTACTCCTGCTCTATCTTGCTCTAGAAGACACAGGATAATAAAAAGCAGTTATAACAGTAAAAGCTTAATTACTCTTTACTAATAACTGAATGAAATACATTAAATGTCAATGGTGTCTGTAGTAAAAAATGACATAATGTATGATATAATTAAATACACAAGACTATGTTTTAATAGCTGTAAGTGTCTGCTTAAACCAAACAAACCAAAAAAAATCAAAGACAATATTGACAAAGGCCCTTAAATCACACTGTTGTGTATGAAAGTTTTTGCAGAAATTTTGTTAGTTTTAATTACAAATTTTATGGTGGGCTAAGGTCTATTTTGTATTTTTATAATGATTCATTTTTATTTCAGTGATAATAAAAGCTAATGATAATGTTATTTTGAACAGTTGGCATATTTGAGAGGGTGATAAAAATAAGTTGCATAATATTGTAGAATATAGAATATAGAATATAGAATATAGAATATAGAATAGAGAATATAGAATATAGAATATAGAATGTATAATGTATAATATATAATAGATAATAATGTATACTATTACCTGGTGATATAGATATAGCTATAGGTATAAAGTTGTCTAAAGGCTCTGGGAAGAGCTATCTAAATCTGGTGGTGTGACCGGTATCATATTTTGTGTCTTCAGAAATTATGACCTCATGTGGTCACAACAAAGTGCATTAAATTGGATGTTCTTGATGTCAGCATAACTTTAAATTATTTGTACAGTCTGACCAAGGTGTAGGAAAGCCTGGGGCAGGGCAGGGATTCACAGTGGCTCCAGGGGTGGGTTTGATGGTCAGCTGGAGCTTCTCCCTTCCTGCAGCTTCAGAGAATCTCAGCGTTGCTCTTGCCGACAACTCTTCTCCTAGGTTTCAGGATGAAGCAGACATGACTGACATTAGAGGAGGAACTTACATGATGTAAATGATGCCAGACCAAACAGGAGCAGCGTGAGTGCAACGCTACTGTAATGAAAATACTTCAAAAGAAGTGCCATAACTCAAATTAAACAACTCTACGTTATTCAATAACACAGACCTCGAATGACTTTTACCACCCGTTGACCCAGCTAAGTTTTAATGGCGGGGTTTTCGGCTGATTTGAGATGAGGAAGCTCAGGCAGCACATCTCGGGCTGAGGTGGCCGCGCAGAGCGCACCCGGCGGCGCTCGGGCAGCAGCAGCAGCAGCAGCAGCAGCAGCAGCAGCAGCAGCAGCAGCAGCAGCAGCAGCAGCAGCAGCAGCAGCAAAGCCCGGCTGCCGCTTTGTTCCTTTGTTCCCCCAGCCCCGCTTCCCTGGCCAGAGCAGCCTCCGCTCAGCCTGCTCATGCCTTTGCTTTTTTCCCCCCTGCTTGCTCACCTGCAGTCTCTGTTCATATTGTTTTATGGTTCTTTAGACAACGGGTTTTAACAGCTAAACATAAAAGCCACTGAGAGCATAAACAGGAAACTTGTGTTTAGGTGGGAGTGCCTAGGAATTTTATACTGCTGACCACAGAGGCCATGGGAGAAAGGAAATAGGAAAAACACTGTAAATACCTGGGTGACTAATGGCTTGTGCTGTTCATCTGGCTTTTCAGAATATGAAAAGCTCAGCCTTTTCCAGGCAAAACAGAGCAAGGAGGGCACAAATTCACTGGTCAATACTCTCCGTGCTCCTCCGCTGCCTGTTTCCCTGCTCGCTCCCATCGCGGGAAGCTCCCCGTTCCCACAAAGTCAAATGAACCCCCAGTAAATTGTGGCCCGGCACTTGAGGCTGCGTGCGCTGACCGAGGGAGGGAGTGTGACACGCGAGGGTGCTCGCACCGCCTAAGAGGATTTAGATGAAAGAAACCAAATTCGCAGCCCCCTGTTTTGTGTTGAGGCAGCAGCTGGAGTTTGGGGGCAGCGTGAGCCTTTGTCCAGCTTTGCCTCGCCGGCTCCCGAAAAGGTTGCCATTGTTCCCGAGGGGCCTCCGCAGGGCTGCTCCTGTGCCCGCTCCCTTTTATCGCCAGCCGCAGGGCTTGGGAGAGGTTTTGTCTTTTGCTGACAGCAGCAGATTTGGCCGGCCGGCATCTCCCACGCGGCAGCGCTAGGGTGGGATTCCCAGGTTGGCCATCTGCGCCGGGGACCGGCAGAGTGCGGCGTTCTGGCCACCGGGCCATTCCCCTCCGGGGGCCGCTGCTGCTGCGACATCTGGACACCTTCAGCGGGCGTGAGGAGTCCGGTTTCGCTCCAAAGCCGGGCCGGTTTCTCACGCTGAGAGCGTGACCCGGCAGAGGAGGGATGATGGCAGATGAGGATGCTTCCCCGGGTCACGTTTTTCGGGGGGGGAACAGCGGCCCTGCGGGAAGGCAGAGAGGCAGTGCAGCCTGGGAATCCCAGGAGCCCACCTGCAGCTCTGGCCAGCGCTTGCCTCAGTTTCCCGGGAGCTCAGCCCGAAGGGTTAGTTCTGTAGGAGGGGCAGGGCAATGTGGGTTCCAGCAGCAAGGATGGAGGGAACCCCTCTGGTGTCCTTTATTCAGTCCTTGCTGCTTCTCTCTCCCACAGCACAAAAACTGGAAAAGAACAACTAGTCCTCTTTTCTTCAAGTTCCTATAAAACCCAATAATATGCAGATAATACTCTATGCCCAGGCTGCTTCAGAGAAGGACCAGCACAGCCAAGGATGTCAGCCCTGGAGCAGCAGCTGGATCTTACTGAAATCAAGTGTGTTACTAAATAAGGGTGGAATTTCACTCATGGAAAGTTAAGCACATCTGTAAATATTTCTCTGAATCCAGGCTGGGGTTTCATCCACAACGAACTTGTAGTTTGATTGCTGAAGTGATACGATAAGCCATGGCAATGTTTGGCAGGGTGCTGGGGAGGATAGCTTTGTTGATAGCCAGGCATGATCACTTCCAGACTGTGCAAACACTGAATTTTATTGACAGAGATGCATGTATACACTCGTATGTTGCTAGATGTATACGTGTACCTATAGTTACAAACGGGTGTAGATACAAATTGACTCCAGTTTATAATAACATAGTTACTTGTTCCTATGCAGTTACAAAATATGTAGTGAAGGTTGCTGCGACCATAAAACAGACTTGTTTTGTTTTTTTCCCTCATGAATATTGTTGCAGGAAAAGATGTTGGGCTCTCTAAAATCTCTTCCCAAGGGCAGCAACTGACCAAGAGCAGAGCAGTAGAAGCTGTCCAACACTACAAACCCATCCGGGAGGACCTGCTCAGAGCCTCAGCTGTGCAAGAGCACAACCTCGCCGCCGTCCCAGGAAATCGCTGAATGTTTCTCAGGACAGTGAACCACGACACTGCTGAGCGACAGCCCCAGTACAAAAGCCACCGAGGGACTGGGGGAAGCTGTGTGGCGATGGCTGAGCTCAGCCCCCGCGCAGCCCGAGCGGGCCGGGCGCGCTGCCCGGGAGGGACCGCAGCGCCCGGAGCCCTGCGGGGCACACGTGGCCAATTGGGGTGGGAAGGACAGAGCTCCTTCCTCCGAGCTAAGCCGGCTCTCACACGACGACCCTGAAGCTGTGTCCTGAAGACTGTAGTGGCCAAAGCGTTTCTCAGGGTTTTACTTCTAAATCCCTTCTCCCGCACAATACTGAAAAGAGGCTCTGACCCAAGACTCTTCTCGGTTAAATACCCGAGCTGCCAAGATACAGATTTTCAGGGATTCCTTTTGAAACTCTCCCACTTTGTACAAAGCGATTAAATATTCATTGGCACGGGGACTGGGAGCCGGCCTCCTGGCTGAGCACCCCCACCCCAAGCCGCAGAGCCCTTTTCATTCTCCTCCTCTGAATATTTAATCAGCTCATACAAAGCGGAGCGGCTTCAGCAGGGGAGCCTGGGAGAGAGCCGGCAGTGAGAGCCGCTGCTCAGAGAGCGCAGCAGAGACACCCGATCCCAGGCGCCTGCTCCAAAGCAGGCAGATGAAGGATTTGAGCATTCGGCTCAGCATAGCTGTGAGCTGTTAGCTATTCACAGCGGAGGATGTGACACTTCCTTTCTCTTCTCTCCCCCACCCCGTCTTTTATTCCAGCTAGATGTGGTTTAACCACCTCAGAGTCCAGCAGGAAGACAGGATGAGGAATGCTTCGTTTGTGTCCTGAAAACTGTACAAAACGAATGGATAAAAATTTGATGAGAAGTTTTCCAGCCATTCAAGCGCCTCTCTTAATAATTCAGATGTTTGATTTTCTTCCTCGGTATGCAGTAAGGATTAATGCACTTTGAAGATGATATAGAAACTAGTTTCCAGAAAAGGAGAAAAGCCTCAGATTTAAAAAGAAAATCCCACATAGGAGTAAGGCATTATAACATGAGCTTCTATCCTCCTGATTCTCTTAACTGATGTCTGGGACAGGCTTTGCACTGAAATTTCAGCATAGAGAGATCTTTTGCAGCTTACCTCTAATAAACAAAGTTCACAGCGGAAATGCTGACAGGCTGTGATCAAAGCAGCACCCTCAGGTGTTGCTGTGATATACTGCTTGCTTACTAAAACACAGCAGTTCAAACAGCCTGGCTGTATTTAATTGGTATATATAGTATTTCCAACTCAGGGAGCTCAACAGTAAAGAAGGTTTCTCTTAGATCTTTCACTCTGCCATTGTTCTGCTATTTGCTCAGAAGAAAGACATTTAGGAGACCAAGTTTTCAGTTACATCTGGAACAAGGACCCTAGGACTATACACAGCGTTGCCTTGAACTTTATAGGAGGCTGCCCTGCGAGCACTCCTCTGCTGTTTCCACTCAGAGGTCCATGCTGTTCTCCCCCCAGCTGTGGGGAGCAGCTTGTCCTCATCTTCTTCCTGAACATCTTTACTTCAGTCACATCAACAGCATATGTAAAAAAAACAACACCAAGAGTATACCACAACGCAGTTTTAGTGTCTTTTTTAAAGTATTAGATAAAGAGAAAAATATCCAGATGATAAATTCATGGATTTATCAGTCACCATCTAGGACTTGCTAGTGTTTGGAGCAGTACTTGGCTCCATACTCAAAGTTCACAACTCATCCTCTGAAATTCAGATGTGTGTCTAAAACTTTGGCCTAGCCTGACCACTAGAGATACAAGCTCATATATTCTTGAGGAAGAATATTTTTTCTTGCCCAGTTCTCTCACAACATCTGCCACAGTCTCAGATCCTGGCTCTCAGACTCATTCTTCTTACCCAAGGAGCCCAGACGCCCACCACTGTCATGTCCCACCCTCTTTGGTCAGTCAATTCCCACTCCTAACCAGTTTCTATTTCTTGGTTCCACCACCTGATTGTTGTTTTCCTTTATTCAATTTTTTTGCCTTTTTTTCCAGCTGCTCCAAGGAATTCCTTGTTTACACTGCCTCAGTTCTGGCAGGGCTGTTTTATCCCATCCCTGACTTTTACTGTGAGCAACCAAAGTTGAAGAAATCCACTTTCTTTGACTTTGGATGGAGTATATTCAGCTCAGGGTGAAGAGGATGCAACTAACAGCTTTGTGCCAGGCAGAAGCTGTGAGGGGACAGAACATGTGCAGTCACTCTCTGTGGACAAACAGCATCATCTTTCATCCACTCCAGCAGCCCTGAGAAACTTGCATGCATGCCCTAAAGATGGGAGGTATGGAGAGATTAATTCCTAAATTAAAATGTCTCTACTTAGCAAGGGCAGAGTAGGTCTTATTCCAGAAGTTTCTAATTGGACCTATATTGGAGACTTTTATAAAAACAGCAACAGGCATCTCCCAACAGAAAAGGCCACTTTGCTCCACTCCTGCATTTTGAGTCACTGCTACAAACTTCTGAGAAACCAGACCTTTTTTGAAATTAAAAAAAAGGTTTGTTATCATTTTTTTTGGTAATATGAACAAAAAAATATTTTCTCAGTTCTTGTTCCCAGAATCTGCTAAAATGTTTTGACAATTTTTTTTTTCAAAAAATTCTGCCTTAGGCATACACCTGGATTATAAAATATCATCCCAAATGGCTAAAACTTGACAATGTGTCAAAATGTGATTTTATAATAGGAAATATTGTGCAAACATCATATTATCCACTATTAGCCTCACCTATTAAAAACATTTCTTTATGTGTAGCAATGAGGCTTATACAAACCAGCAGTTGCAGATGTAGTCACTATTTCCCAGTGTGCAATACCTTAGTAATTTTGACTTTTTCAATATTACTGAGTGCAACAAGATAACATTAATAAAAAAAATCCCTTGGTGAATTTATTCTTTTGAATAAAATCTTGCTTTGAATTATGCTGTAAAAATGCTTCTTTAAATCAACTAATTTCCATTTAATTACACGGATATTAGTTAAAACCAACAGAGTGGACTTCTCAATTTTTAATTGTGAAAATTCTCTCCCAGGCTGAACTCTTCTATGCCAAGTTTCTGTGTTGAGCACATTTTTACGGTCTAGTTATAAACCCTAGAAAAACAACGTTTATAGGAAATGTTGACACAACCTTAAATAAAGTGGTGCTAGCTGACACCTCTATATTTTCAATTTGGGGATTTCTACTGGGAAAATATAAACGCTAATGCAGTAAAGGAAGCCAACTATAATAAAACCCTCATAGTCTTCCTGTTCACCACACGAAGACCTACTTCAAAAAGCACCAACTCAGACTGGAGATGAGTAGAATTTAACTGCATTCCTCTGAGGGTACTAAAAATTACCTTCAGGTAGTTCACCCTCACAGTTACATGCGAGACTT